GTCAGGAATGCAGAGTGGGGTGATGATGTCAGTGGGACAAGTATTTGGCCCTGGGAAAAGCAGCCCTCTCTGGGGATGCTGTGTGGGGACTTGTGTGGGGACCGGGGACGGTTGCCGTGGTAACGCCTCCTCCTCTCCTCCTCCCTCTTCAGCACACTGTCCCAGTGCTGCCACGCGGTGGTGGCGCTGCTCTACCCCTTCGTGTGGCAGCACACCTACATCCCCGTGCTGCCCGCCGCCATGCTGGACATCGCCTGCACGCCCACGCCGTTCATCGTGGGGCTGCTGTCCGGAGCCCTGCCCCAGCTCAGCCAGCTGCCCCTGGAGGAGGTCAGAGGTCGCCCACAGGGCCCCCCCCCCACACCCCCACCCCCGTCTGACCCGGGGATTAACTCACCTTGTTCTTGCAGGTTCTGGTGGTGGATCTGGGCAACAGCCGGCTGCTCAGACAGGTGGGACTTAGCTTTCCTCTTTTTAAATGTAAATATAAAAGTAAAAGTACAGTACAGACCAAAAGAAAGTTTGGACACACCTTCTCATTCAAAGAGTTTTCTATTATTTGCATGACCATGAAAGTTGTAGATTCACACTGAAGGCATCAAAACTATGAATGTGTTGAATTATATACTTAACAAAAAAGTGTGAAACAACCAAAAATATGTCTCATTTTCTAGGTTCTTTCACCCTTTAAAGCCTGATCCAAGAATAAAACAAAAGAGAATTTTTTTTTTTTTTGTTTGAATTCCTTATTTGGCCTTTTAACAAAATATGTAAAAAAGAAAAAACAGAAATACATTTTTTATTTTAATAATTTATTACTATGAGATAACTCAAGATTATTTTTTGTGTAGTCTTCTGCCCCCTGTTATCAGGTGTATCTGATTGTGTACAATAGGATTTTGAGCAAAGTTTTTACCATTAAATTATGCAAAAGGTGTCAGACGCAAAACATTTAAGAAACCGTATGAATCAAATATGATACATTTGGAATTACAGGGTTAAAGCAGCCACCTTTTGCTCTGATCATTTTCTTGATGTTTTTCAAGAGGTAATCACCTAAAATGGTTTTCACTTCACAGGTGTGCCCTGCCAGGTTTAATAAGTGGGATTTCTTGCCTTAGAAAAGGGGTTGGGACCATCAGTAGTGTTGTGTGGAAGTGGATACACAGCTGATAGTCCCAATTAATAAACTGTTAGAACTGGAACTTCTTCAACACTGTTGGAAGACCATTTCAGGTGATTACCTCTTGAAAAACATCAAGAAAAGGATGAGAGCAAAATGTGGCTACTTTAAAGAACTAGACTACTCAAAAAATAATCTTGACTTTTCGCATAGTAATAAATTATTAATATAAAAAATGTATTTTTGTTTTTTCTTTTTACATACATTGTTAAAAGGCCAAATTAGGATTTCAAACAAAAATATAATAATTTTCTGTTTTGTTTTATTCTTGGATCAGGCTTTAAAGGGTTAAAGAACGTAGAATATAAGACGTATTTTCAGTTGTTTCACACTTTTTTGTTAAGTATATAATTCCACATGTATTAATTCATAGTTTTGATGCCTTCAGTGTAAATCTACAACTTTCATAGTCATGAAAATGAAGAAAACTCTTTGAATGAGAAGGTGTTTCCAAACTTTTGACCTGTAATGTACTTATATAGAGCTTTTCTAGTCAAGCTGACCACTCAAAGTGGTCATCCACCATTCACACACATTCACACACTGGTTGCACCAGTGGGGAACTTGGGGTTCAGAGCCTTGCCCGAGGACTGGAGGAACCTGGAGTTGAACCCCTGACCCTCTGATCAGTGGGCAGCAGCTCTCTCCTCCTGAGCCCTCTAAGACTTCCCTGCTTTTCCGGTTCTAGTTCGACGGCGAGGACTGGGTCCTGCCCCCGAAGCTGC